TTTTTTTAAAGAGAAGAACCCTAATCTTTTGCCTGGAGGTGCATTCTCCAAAGTTAGTTAGTTCCCTTGTCAGCTGGTTCTCTTCCTCCCCCTCTCTGGTTCCCACGTGTCCTGAGTTCTGGTGGACAGACTGGTCCCTTCTGCTGACGGCTCCATATAGATCCTGTGGAGACTGCTACTGCTTTCACTGTTGTATCTTCAGCACTCATTCATCCCCTCCACATCTTCTAGAACTTCACTGAAATCCATCGTACATATTTTTTACTCTTTTATGATGATTCAGGTATGGTATTAAGAGGGAGGGGCAAAAAATCATAGCCTACTTTCTTGAACCAGAAACCCAAGTGGCATTTTAGAAATAAAAATCCCTGAGCCCAGCCCTAGAACTACTCAGTCAAGTGTATTGGGAGTGAGGCTTGAATCTCTAACCTTAGGTAATTTTGTTGTAGCCAAAGAGTGGTTGGCAGGTGAGAAGCATACAATAAATGTGGAAAGAAAGAACAAGTGACATAATGCCCTAGAACTATATACTCTTGTATTTCCAGTTATAGACCAGCTAAAAATGCTAATGTTGGGAGCAGCAGATGGTGTAACTGCTATGTCGCTGGACTCCCACATGGCTGACCACAGTTCGATTCCTGGACCTGATGGCTTGAAACTCATGACAGACATGTGTGGATAGGTGTGTGCCCAAGATCCCAGGAGGAGAATGGAGAAGGGATTGTAGTGTGACCATCTGCCTGGAGTGGGGAGGGGGCTTCTCACTTTCCTTCTCACTGTCTCTTTCTCTCTCTCTTCCCACTGCAAGCACATGCACCCTAAAGCAGAAACTTCTTAAAAAAACAAAAGCAAAAACAAAAAACAACAGTGAGTCAGCAGGTGGTGGGGTGGTTAGAGGCACTGGACTCCCACATGGCCAATTGTGGTTGGAGTCCCAGACCTGGCGGCTTGCTTTCTCACTTTCCCTTTCTCTCTGTCTGGTCAAATTTAAAAAGGATAATAAGAAATGGAATCGAAAATAAATAAATTTTTTTTGGGGGGGGGTGTTTTGTGCTATAGGGCCCATGTGCTCACCAGAAAGAGAGAAACAGGGAGACAGAAAGCAAGAAATCACCCCCCAGGGGACATAGCCACACTGCAATCCCTTCTTCATTCACCTCTCAGGATCTTGGGCACGCACGCACATGCACCTGATGTGAGTTTAAGCCACTGGGTCTGGGACTCGAACCACAGTCCACCGGGAGTCCAGCAACTTAGCCATTATGCCAACTGCTGGTCTCAATAAATAGTTCTTTTTAAAAATGCTAATATTTTAAAATATAAAGCCTTGGTCAAAAGTATTAGCTACTTAGAAGAAATACCAATGCAGTTCCTCAGCTGAATTCCTTTGGCTGCAGCATTCTGAAATTTAGTTTTGGGACTTTAAAAAAAATGATATGTATATACAATACAAACTATAACACTGGTTAGCACCCAGTAATCACCACATTAATATTTCTGCAGCAAAGCCTCTGAATAGTCCTAGTAAGTAGGATAAAGTCTATTAATAACTTCATGTGAATTCAGTTCAAGTCTTGCCAATGTATCAACTTTCCTTGTTGAATAGATTACAAAAAATATTTTCCGTTTTCAGCATTTTTTTTAATTCAGAATTGTTTCTAAAGAATTGTGTACTTGTATTTAATCTGAAACGTTTTTTTCATCCTTTCATTTTATGGTTAAATAAAAGCGTGGAAACAGAAGCCAGTGTTTGGAGCTGCTGCAAAGACACAGACAAGCCAAACAGGGAGTTTCCCATCTTAACAGCCCAGAATTAGTTTGATGTTAGCGATGGAAAATAGAAGCTGGGATTCCCAGCCCTAGAGTAATGTTCACAGACTGATTTCAAAAAAGAAATCGCTATCTCTTCACAAGGTTAGGGAATTGGATAAGTGCTGAGAGTAAAAATGTTAGTTTGAACAACTTTTTACCTATCACAGACTCCTATAAACACTGTATTAATAAATGTGTGAGTAATTACTCTTAAACTGTAAACTGGAGATTTTCATCTTTTTAACTAAGTGTAATAGTTATAGAAAAATTTAAGGGACTAGGCCATGGCTTGGTGGTTAAGGTGACTGGATCCCACATGGCCGTCTGTGCAGTTTGAGTGCCGAACTTGGCAGCTTGAAAAACATACTAGGTATGTGTGCCTGCGTGCCCAAAATCTCAAAAGGAAGGACAGATGGAAGAGAAGATTGCAGTGTGACCGTGCCCCATGGGGGTGCTTTCTTGCTTTCACCCTCTCTGTCTCTCTGGCAAGTGCACATATCCTGTGGCAAACATTTTTCAAAAGAATTCGAAGACAAATTTAACACGCAAATGGAAGTTTTATACTTTCTTTAGACAGAATATAGACATCTGTGATTTAAGACTATAACTTCACTGGGGATTACAGCATGGTCATCCTCCTAGCAAAAAAAAAAAAAGAAAAGAAAGAAAGAATGGAACTTAGTTAATTTATACTCTAATAGCACATTTACTTAACTCTCTTATACTTTGACTCTTAATATTCAAGTGCAAGACAGTAAAAAAATTCTTAGAGTTGCTTATATTAGAAAAATGAAACTATTTTATAAATACTTTGGAATTATGTATGCAAAATCTCTTCCTCCTTTCTTTCTAGTGGATCAATGAGACAATATTAGTGCCACTTGTACAAGAGATTGAGTCTGTCAGCACGCAGATGAGACGAATGGGTTGTCCAGAACTACAAATAGGAGGTATGTAAAAACAGAGCCCATTATTGGGTTTACCTTCAGTAAATCTGCCAAGTACGCAAAATGGGCTATTCTTAAAATGGGCTATTTAGCAGTTTTCTTGAAGTTATTGTGAAGTCAAGTAAAAACGAAAAACTGGGACTGGCAGGTGGTGTGGTGGTTAAGGGCACTGGACTCCCATGTGGCCAACCATAATTTGAGTCCCAGACCTGGCAGCTTGCTTTCTCATTTCCCCTTCCTCTATCTTTCTCTCTCTTCATCCCTCTCTGGTCAAATAAAATAAGTCTTTAAAAAAAAAAAAAAAAAGAACTAAATGTCTATAACAGTTTTTTTAATGTAAGAGCTTTATTAAAATATAATTTATTTCCTGGGATCAGCAGTTGGAGTAATGGCTATGTCGCTGGACACCCATGTTGTGGATGCAGTTCAAGTCGCTGATCTGGTGGCTTAAACTCATACCCAAGATCCTGAGAGGAGAATGGAGGAGAAGGGATTGCAGCATGGCCATCCCCCCTGGGGGTGATTTCTCGCTTTCTGTCTCTCTGTCTTTCTGGCGAGCACATGTACCCTATAGCAAAAAAAAAAAAAAAGAAAAAAATACATACATATATTTAATTTATTTCCCATATAATTCACCCATTTAAAGTGTACAACCCAAAGGTTTGGGTTGTGTAGCCATTACCACAATCAAGAGAAATGTTTAACTCTAAAAAAGAAACCCCATACCCTTTAGCAGCCACCCCCACATCCCGTACATCCCCTCCTACCCCTGCAAGTACCAGTTTCTTTTCTTTGTCTGTAGATAGGTCTTTTGTGGATGTTTCATATAAATGGAATCATGTGACATGTGGTCCTTGGTGACTGATTCTCTCTTAATATGTTTTTAAGGTTCATCCACATTGTAGCATTTATCAGTACTTCACTGTTTTATACTGCCAAATAATACTCAAAATGGATCTACCACATTTTTATCCATTCATCAGTTGATTCGCATTTGAATTGTTTCCATTTTTGGTTCCTATAAATAATGCTGCTCTGAACAGTTGTGCACATTTTTGTGGGCACGTATTTAATTTCTCTGGGGTGTCTGCCTAGAAGGGGAATTGCCAGCTGGTCCAGTAACTCTGTGCTTAACATTTTGAGGAACTGCCAGAGCCTTTCCTAAAGCAGCTGCATCATTTTATCTTCCCACCAGCAGTGTATGAGAGTTCTAGTTCCTCTACACCCTCGGCAACACTTGATACTGTCTCTTATAGTCAGCTAGTGTGTTTGAAATGGTATCTCATTGACTTGCATTTCTTTGATCAGAGCTTAATGATATTGAACCTCTTTTCATGTGTTTATTGGTCACTTGTATATCTTCTTAAGGAAAATGGTTTTTTAGACCCTTTACCTCCTGGAAATATGTTAAGTGCTTTGGATTACACATTAGCATTTGCCATTTACTTTAGGTATCCTATAATCAGTCTTCGTTTGTGGACTAAGGATAGAAATGTGCATCCCCATAGTGTCCGTTTATTGAGTATCCAAGTGTTTCATCATCATCATCATATGTAGTTAACCTACGTTCACTTTTAACCTTGAAAGCTGGCTGTTACTGGCCAGTTTTTATGGGAGAGGCTTAGACTCAGAGGTTAAATAACTTGCTCATTGCACAGAGCAGTGGTTTAAACCAGAATTTTCTGGCTTCAAAGCCACAATGGGTACTTTCTGGGTCGTGGTATGTTATTATGTTTGAACCTGTGCTTATTCTCTTTGAACTTTCTTTCTGAGCGATCATTATTTATCTTTCAGAACATTTTACCTTTGTGATAGACTTTTCAAAAAAAATTAATTATTTTTCTGTTTGTTGTCATTTTCAAGCCACTGGGTCTGGAACTTGAACCACGTTCAGCATGTGGGAATCCAGCACCTTAACCACCACATCACCTGCTGGACTTGTGATAGGCTTTTAAAAAAAATTACAATAATGAGTTTCTATGACTATAAAAATAGTCTGTGTTCACTGTAGAAAATTTACGAAGTACAGAAATGTAAAAAAAATAATTGTCACCTGTAATTTTATTTTCATTGATAACCATTGTCAATGTTAAGTCACATTTATTACTTTTGGAGAATACTATGACATAAACTCTGTGTGTGTGTGTGTGTGTGTGTGTATGTGTGTGTGTGTGTACACACAATACACACACAGTTTGTGTCATATATACACACACATATTTATATCTTGATTTTAAGTTACACTATAATTTAAGAAATATGAAAAGTGGATTGGAAGGGAATTGAGGAAATACAGATATATTGCATGTATGTAATTTTTAAAATCTTATGTATTTCTTCCATGGGCAAGAGATACAGCACCCACAACAGGGTCTTGACACTGTACCCCACCCCAGCCTCAGCCAGCTCCAGATCATGGGCATGCACGTGTGCTGACATACTTAGGGAGGTGTCCCAGTGCAGACCTAGAGCCTTCCCATGCGGGTCAGCCTCACGGATTTACAAAAATGGATTTGCCGGCTTTTACAGAAAGGGGCGGATGGGTTGTGTGTGTTTAAATCTGGCTCTCCCTTACCTGAAATGATAAGTTGTCTATGAAGTAGATAATACAAATTAAGATAAACTATCTATCACTGCTATCATTTATTCCTTCAAAAGCTAGTGAGTATGGACTCTGTGCTTGATATTGTTCTAAACATTAGGGATACAGCAGGGAGAGAAATAACTAAGATCTTTGCCCTCATTAAGCTTTCGTTCTAATAAACGAGACAGGCTATAAACAGGTGATTGATGCTAAACAGAAAAAAGTAGCATGGGAGGGTGTTCTTATTAACGTTTAAGGAAAAGGGGGAAATTGGAGAAAGGGTGATCAGGGAAGACACGCTGACTGGGTGAACACCTACAGGCAGCAAAGAGCATGTTAAGTTCTTTTAGAGGCCTACATGAAAAATAACCGATATTCTCTGTTTCATTTTTAACAGAGGCTAGTATTACTAGCTTGAAACAAGCCGCCCTGGTCAAGGCCCCTCTCATTCCAACCTTGAATACAATTGTGCAGTATCTAGACCTTACACCAAATCAGGAATATTTGTCTGAAAGGATCAAAGGTAAGTATTGATTTGGAAAGGAAAAATGAAAAATTTTCACCACATTGGGATTTTATAAATAAAAGTTAACAAGGAAAAAACTTTTAAGCAACCGAGTCCAGGACTCGAACTGCAATCGACTACAGGAGAGTCTAGTGATAGAATCATTATGCCATCTGCAGGTCCCAGGGGGGGGAAAAATTTTTTTTTAATTTGAAGTATAGTGAAGATCTTAATTTTTTTTTTTTTTTTTTGGAGAGGTTTTTGCTATAGGGCGTGTGCATGCGCCAGAAAGACAGACAGAAAATGAGAAATTACCCCCCAGAGGGGATGGCTACTCCGCAATCACTTCTCTGCCATTTTCCTCTCAGAATCTTGGATGAGCTGAGTTTAAGCCACCGGGTCCAGGACTCAAACCACGGTCAACCACATGGCAGTCTAGCCAACTACTGGTCCCGAAGAGCTTAATATTTTATAAATGCATATTTAAACTAAGGAATATACTTGAACAGCTTTTGTATTTTATATGTTAAGAGTTGTTGAAATAATTTAGCTTTGAATATGTTAATAATGCCTCTTTTTCTTTTTTTCAGGTTTTTGCTATAGGGCGAGTACACTTACCAGAGAGCAAGAGAGACAGTGAGAGGGAAAGTGAGAAATCACCCCCCCAACCCAGGGGGGATGGCCACACTGCAATCCCTTCTCCACTCTTCTCTTGGGATTTTGGGCATGCACACACATTCATGGTATGATATTCAAGCTGCCAAGTCCAGGACTCGAACTGCAGTCAGGTGTGTGGAAATTCAGCACCTTAACCACCACACCACCTACTGGCCCCAATAATCCTATTCTTTATTGGGAATTTATGGGCTTTATGGGCTCAAATGAATATTCACTCCTTTTTTATCATTACGACATTCTTTGTAGTTTTATTTAGCATGCCGATCTTTATTTCTTCTAATATTTATAATTCCTATTTAATAATGTTGCTTCTTTATATTTCTGTTCATTCTTATTCTTTTGGGAAGATGTGATCTTCTGAGGAGACTGGATAATCAGGAAATTGAGCCTCCCTGATGTTCCTCCACACATTTTTTTTTTAATTGCTAGAGGACACATGCGCTCACCAGAGAGAGAAAAAGTACTGTTCAATGGGAAGTGGCCACGCCGCAATTCTTTTTCCTCCATGTCTCCATCTTGCCAGGATTTGGGGCACACATGCAGGCATATGTGCCTGGTGTCGTTTTTAAGCTGCCAGGGCCAAGACTCAAACTTTAGTCAGTCGTGTGGGATCACATATTGTTAAATGTTTTGATTAGTTGATATATTTAAGTTTCATTTAAGCTCTACGTTTTTAAAAAATATTTATTTAATTCTATTTTTTTATTATGTTTTAATTTGACCAGAGAGAGAGAGAAAGGGAAAGTGAGGAAGCGAGCCGTCAGGTCCAGGACTCACACTGTGGTCGGCCATGGGGGAACCCAGCGCCTCTAATCACCACACCACTTCCCAGCTCCAGCTCTAGGCTTTTTGTGCATTCTTTTTTTCTTCTTTGCAGTTTGTTTAAAGAACTGAATTTTTGTCCTGTGGTTTTATATTGTCTGGGTTTTGCTGAGTGCATCTTCGTGGTGTAGTTTTACATGACTCACTGTATTCTGTATTTCTGTATAAATTCAGGTTCACATTTTTTGGCAACATCGCCTCATAGATAGCAGAGTATTTATTTGTGTATCAAAAAAAATCATGTGTATGTTTGGCTCTGTGTGTACCTATATCGGGTTGTCAGAAAAGTCACAAAGTATTTCAGGTTTTTTAATGCAAAAATGCATCTGACGTGCCTGATGGACAACCCAATGAAATACATAAAGAATTATATCTCAGGACCAGCAGTTAGCGTAATGGCTCTGTTGCTGGACTCCCACGTAGTCTACCGCGGTTCGTGTCCCAGACCCAGTGGCTTAAAACTCACGCTGGGCGCATGTGCCTTTGTGCCCGAGATCCTGAGAGGAGAATGGAGGAGAAGGGATTGCAGCATGGCCATCCCCCCTGGGGGGTGATTTCTCGCTTTCTGTCTCTCTGTCTCTCTCTCTGTCTGTCTGGCGAGCGCATGCGCCCTATAGCAAAAACCTCTTAAAAAAAAAAAAGAATTATATCTCAAATATACAAAAAGGTTTAAAAAACACAGTGAACACTGTACTGTATTGTAGATTTAACAATTAACAACATTTTGGCATATTTAATTCTATGTGTATACATGTACACCTTTTTTTTGCTATACAATTTTAAAGTACATTGCAGGTATCATTACTTTTCAGTATGTACTTTCCTAAAAATAACACTGTTATCACAATACAGTATCACACCTTAAAAATGAACACTTCTATGGCCAGCAGGTGGCATGGAGTTTAAGGTGTCTCATCTCACATACCTTGAGTCTCAGACCCAGCAGCTTGAAAATCATCCAAGCACGTACATCATGCCCAAAATCCCAACAGGAGAGTAGATTGCGGTGTGGCCATTCTCCCCAGGGGTGATTTCACTCTCTCTCTTTCAGCAAGTGCACACACCCTATAGCCAAAACTAAACACACATACACACACACACACACACACACACACACACACACAAAGCAGTTCTGTAATACTACTTTATGTAGTCCATGTTCAGATTTCCCAATTACCTGATGACATTTTGAAGAATTTAGATTACTATTCTTGTCTTTCATTTTGGATTTATCTTGTTCTCCTCATGATGTTTGCCTTGATCTTTTATCCCTCTCTCTTCATTTCGTAAGTTTATGTAAACATTTCTATGAGTGAGAGAGCACCATCACCCCCAACAATGTCTCACACCGTGTTTCGCCCCCAACCCAGACACGGCACACGCATGCTCTGTTTTGCAGGGAGGTCTCCCTAGAACCAGGAACCTTCCCCTGAGGAGCGCCTTGCAGAGCGTCTCGTAATTTGCCTCTACACCACCATCCGGCCCCTGGTTGTTTATATCTAAGTTTCTTTGTGTTTGGTTATTTGATCAAGTTTCTGAGACGAAGTTTCTGTACTCCCCTGTTTGGAACCCCTTAGCCTTTCTTTTTCTTTTCTCCGTATCTTTAGCATTTTAAATTTCATCTTTGTTGCCACAGAACTTTCTCAGGGAGGTTGTATGAGCTCATTTAGATGGAACAGAGGTGGAGATTTCAAAGGACGAAAGTGGGATACGGACCTGCCCACTGATTCTGCTGTAAGTCTTGGTGTTGGTGTTATTTTGTTCTTAAAGGTTAATGTTTTTTATATCAAATTATGTGTTTTTATTTCCCATTACAAAATTATTAAAGAAAAGGTAGAAGCTAAGATAGAAATATTAATAACAAATAACTGTAGTACCAGAATTTTAACTCAATCACTGTTAATATTTTTGTTTGTCTTTTTCTCCCATTATTTAGATGGTACCTTTTTTTTTTTTTAGAGGTTTTTGCTACAGGGCACGTACGCTTGCCAGACAGAGAGAGAGAAAGTGAGAAATCATCCCCCAGGGGAATGGCCACACCGCAGTCCCTTCTCCTCTGTTCTCCTCGGGATCTTGGGCACACACACACACACACACACACACACACACACCCAGCGTGAGTTTTAAGCCACCGG